TCCTTTATTCACTGTGATTTAGACATTAGTCAAAATTCCATTTAACATCTGACCACCATAGGCCCCTTCTGGCTTTTTTGGTTCCCAGGAATTAATGATGATTCAAAGCCAGTATCTAGTAATCTCCAAAGAGTCTGAGAATGTCCATTTCTCCAAGAATACAGTTACCTTAGTAAATGGCTGCAAAGCCCTTTGAGGAAAGCTTCAGAGATTTATACTGCATGCTTATGGGGTTTTGCAAGATCCTGTCTCAAGCAGACACTGAGCTCAATTCAATCCAGGGGCTCTGAGTCAATGATCTGCATTAGCTCCAAACTGTGACCATCATTATGGAAATTAAGTCAGGTTTCTGGCTACCTGAACTGTCATGTTTCTGCTCTAAAGATCAAGAAATATTTTAATAGGCTGCCCATCTGTTTTATTTCTAGGGTCACCATAGCCACAAAAAAACCCATGCAGGTCAAAACATTCTGATTGCCTTCCTCGAGAGCCTAGTATGGCTCTGGTGACCAAATGTTGCCACTTGGCCTCTCCTCGTCCAGGACTCCAGCTTTCTTACTGAAATGTTGGAGCCCATCTCAGGGGTGGGCCTTACCCCCACTACTCCTGGCCTACAGGAAACTGCACAGGGCTCATCGAGGATTCTGATCCTCCTCCATGCTACAGTATTGCTGGCTTCTTCATAGCAGGTGTATCTCCTGAGACTTCTCAGGAGATGCAGTGAGGAGGAGATGTGCAGGACACATGTGACAAATCCACTCCCATTTTCCCCCTTCCTATGCTTTCACATTCCTTCTACATGATTCCAGGGAAGTACTCACACCTCAACCTCACTGAATGGAGGCTATCATGGAGGGCAAGGTTTAGTCAATCAACTCAGCAAAATGCTAACTCCTCTCCCAGCTGTACAAGCTAACACAGTGTGGTAGATAGCAAAATAAAATGGCCACATGTCCCTCCCCTCTCTGTATGTACACCCCTTGGCAATGTGACTTTATTGCAACTCCCATCAAGAGGTGGGAATCTAGGGATGTCTGGATGGCTCAGCGGTTGCTTTCGGCTCAGGGTGTGATCTCACGGCCCCAGGATCAGATCCCTTATCGGGCACCCAGTGGGGAGTCTGCTTCTTCCTCTGCCTCTGTCTCTGCCTCTGTCTCTGTATCTCTCATGAATAAATAAATAAATAAAATCTTAAAAAAAAAAGAGGTGGGATCTATTTCTCTACTCTCTCAAATCTGGATTGGCTTTGTAATGTGCTGTGACCTACACACTATAGCAGACATGATTTTGTGGGTGTTCTGAGGCCAGGCCCCCCAAGGCAGGTGGAGGTGTCCCTGAGGAGGGGACTGTCAAAGGAAGGAGCCAGAGTGGGCCTCTTGGGGGACAAGAGGCCACGTGCAGAGACAGTCCCAACTGATGGCCTGTACCAACAGGCCAGATGTCTTGGGGCATTCATCCAGCCCTGGCCAAGCCACCAGATGACTGCCACTGCATGAATGATCCCAGATGTGACCAGCAAAAGAACTGCCCAACTGAGCAGAGCCAAATTGCTGACCCACAGAATCATGAGCAAATAAAACGATTGTGGTTTTATGCCACTAAGTTATATAGCAATAGATAACTGGGACACACATCCTACCAGGAGTCTCTGGTAAGTGATCTCATACTGAGAGGACTCAATCCAGAAAGGCCATCTCTGACAAAACTGCAAAATACAAACTGGGTGAAGAGGGAGCCCAAAGCAATGGAGGTGAAAATCCGTGGGGGAGGTGAGGCAGGTGGAGAGAACACACCTGCAGTGTGGATCTCAGGCAGAGGCAGCAAAAAGCCAGAGAGGCTTATGGGTAGCCTCAGGTGTGACCATGGGGTAGAGGGCTGAGGCCAGGTGGAGACAGGGAGAAGTCAGGAGACTGAGAAGCCAGGTGATTGGAAGGACCATCTATGTGGACACTAAACATGTCCAGAATGATGGCTGGAGTAGTGTCAGAGACAAGGGCAGCAAATCAGGACCTAACTCTTTAAAGGGATGAGGAGTGACCAGGGTGTAGGTTGTCTGCAACAACAGTATCATCAAACAGCATGAGAGCTAAAGCTAAGTGGAGTGGAGAGGGGTCATATTCTGGAAGTGGAGCAAGGAGGTCACCCACGCTACTTCCTGGCCCTGGGGGAAGGAGGAGTGGGGGAGAAAGAACAGCCACCATTAGAGCTAGTGGTAGGGGATCCAGGGTCCTCAGGGAGAGCCAGTTGTCCAGAAGAGCTAGGAGGTGAAGGAAACCGTTCACAGAAGACAAACCCTAGGGCCCTTCCCATGCCTGAGGTCAAGGGAGCTTGTGGAGGGTTCCAGTAGTAAGGGGGTGGGAGACGGGATGAAAGAAGGGGAAACAGGGCCAGATGGGGATTAGGTCCCAGGAGGAGGCTGAGGAGGCTGACGGGGACAGAAACTGGGATAAGAGGTATAATGAGATTAGTACTGGCTGCTTCTGCAGCAGAGGGGTGGTGAGAGGCTTGTCAAGGCTGGCAGGGGGAAGGGCAGGGGGCAGAGAGGGGCACACAAACACTCAATGCAGAAACGGTTGTGCATAAGCTTTTCCAGAACTCTGACTCCTGCCAACACCTGTCCAAGAATGGACAAGGAGGTGTTGAAAAATTCAGTGAAATAGAAGAGAGCACAAGAACAGATCCCAATACCGATTTGATTTTATGTATAACAATGATGGGTTTTTGATTCGGTGAGAAAAGAAGGGTAGTTTATTTACTAAGCGACGCTGACCCAGCTGGTCTCCCACCAGGAAGACGATGAGATGGGACCCCTGCCTCTCACTGTAGCCAAATAAATTTCAGACAGTTTAGCACCATAAATGTAAATAACATGCAAAATATATTCCAAAAGACCTTTTAAACCAGACCACACAGCCAAACCCCATGAGAGTAAATGTATACACATATAATCGCATAAAAGTTATAAATTGTTTATGGCAAAAGACACCTTCCCTGAAGTCAAAAGGGTGTTAATAGGACAGGAAATCACTTGAGGGGATCCCTGGGTGGCTCAGTGGTTTAGCGCCTGCCTTCGGCCCAGGGCGTGATCCTGAAGACCCGGGATCAGGTCCCACTTCAGGCTCCCTGCACGGAGCTTGCTTCTCCCTCTGCCTTTGTCTCTGCCTCTCTCTGTGTGTGTCTCTTGTGAATAAATAAATAAAATATTTTAAAAAAAAAGATGTTTAGTCTTACTAGCTATCAGAGAAATATAAAGTAAGACTGTACTATTGCTTAATACCCACAGATAACCAAAAATGAAAATACAGGGACGCCTGGGTGACTCAGCGGTTAAGCATCTGCCTTCAGCCCAGGGTGTAATCCTGGAGACTCCGGATTGAGTCCCGTGGCCGGGTCCGGACATGGAGCCTGCTTCTCTCTCTGCCTGTGTCTCTGTCTCTCTCTGTGTGTCTCTCATGAATAAATAAATAAAATCTTATAAATAAACAAATAAATAAATAAAATAAAAATACAGGTGATACCTATTGTTTGTGATTAAATGGGGGAACTAGCTCTGTTCTCATTCATTGCTGGTGAAAGTGTTTCATTACAGCCTTTTTGGAAAACAATCTGGAAATATCTATTAAAATTGAAATATGCACACCCTTTAATCCAGCAATTCATACCTAAATTAAAGTAAAACCCCTTAAAAATAGGGACACCTGGGTGGCTCAAAGGTTTGGCGCCACCTTTCGCCCAGGACGTGATCCTGGAGACCTAGGATCCAGTCCCACGTCAGGCTCCCTGCATGGAGCCTCCTTCTCCCTCTGCCTGTGTCTCTGCCTCTTTGCCTCTCTCTCTGTCTCTCTCTCATAAATAAATAAAATCTTAAAAAAAAACCTTAAAAATAAAAGCCTGAGCACATAAGGATGAATATATGTAAGAATATTTATTGTATCATTAGTCATAGTAGTGAAAACAAGACAAACCTGGTAAATAAATGGAATGCTTTTAATTTTGGTTTTAAGATTTTATTTATTTATTGATGAGAGATACAGAAAGAGATAGAGATATAGGTAGAGAGAGAAGCAGGCTCCCTCTGGGGCACCTGACTCAGGACTCCATCCCAAGACCCTGGGGTCATGACCTGAGCCAAAGGGAGATGCTCAACCCCTGAGCCACCCAGGTGTCCCTAATTTTATTTTTTATTAAGCTTTTAATTTTAATTCCATTATAGTTAACATACAGTGTGATATTAGTTTTAGTTGTATAATATAGTTATTTGACCATTCTGTAAATTACTCAGTGCTCATCATGTGTACTCTTAATCCCCTTCACCTGTTTCTCCCATCTCCCCACCCACCTCCTCAAACCATCAATTTGTTCTCTGTAATTAAGAGCCTGTGTCTTGGTTTGTCTTTCTCTCTCTTTATTTTTTTTCCTTTGTTTAATTTATTTTGTTCTTCAATTCCACATAGGAGTGAAATTACATATTTGTCTCTCTCTGGCTGACTTATTTCACTTAAGTGTTATACTCTAAGGCTTCTCCATGTTGCTGCAAATGACAAGACTTCATCCTTTTTTACGGTTGAGTAATAATCCATTGTGTATATATACGCTACATCTTCTTTATCCATTCATCTATCAATGGTCACTTGGGCTGTTTCCATAATTTGGCTATTATAAACAATGCTGCTATACACACGGGGGCGCACATATCCTTTTGAATCAGTGTCTTTGTATTCTTTGCACAAATACCCAGTAGTGGAATTACTGGATGGTATATTTCTCTTTCTATTTTTTCTAATATTTCTATTCCTATTTTCTAATTTTTTTAAAGATTTTATTTATTTATCCATGAGAGACACAGAAAGAGAGAGACAGAGACACAGGCAGAGGGAGAAGCAGGCTCCAAACAGGGAGCCCAATATGGGACTCGATCCTGGGACTCCAGGATCATGCCCCAGGCCACAGGCAGGTGCTAAACCGCTGAGCCACCCAGGCGTCCCATCTATTTTCTAATTTTTCAGGAACCTCCATACTGTTTTCCACAGCAGCTTCACCAGTTTGCATTCCCACCAACAGTGTAAGAGGGTTCCCTTTTTCTGCCTCCTTACCAACATTTGTTGTTTGTGTTTTGATTTTAGCCATTCTGACAGGTGTAAGGCGATATTTCATTGTGGTTTTAATTTGCATGATGATTAGTCATGATGAACATCTTTTCATGTGTTTCTTGGTCATCTGGATGTTTTCTTTAAAAAAAAAAAGATTTTATTTAAGCAAGAGAGCACACAAGCAGGGAGAACTGCAGAGGGAGAGAGAAAAGCAGGCTTCCCGCTGAGCAGAGAGCCCATTGTGGGGACAGATCCCAGGACCCCCAGATCATGAACAGAGCTAAAGGTAGATGCCCAACCACCTGAGCCACCCAGGGACCCCATGGATGTCTTCTTTGGAGAAATGTCTGTTCATGTCTTCTGCCCATTTTTTAATTGGATTATTTGCAATTTTTTTGGTGCTGAGTCATATAAATTATTTATATATTTTGGATAGTAACCCTTTATCAGATATGTTGTTTGCAGTTATCTTCTCCCATTCAGTAGTTTATCTTTTAGTTTTGTTGATTGTTTCCCTTTGTTGTGCAGAACTCTTTATTTTGATGAAGTTCTACTTGTTTATTTTTATTTTTGCTTTTAATAAAATGAACAGATAAGGAAAAAATTTTTTTAAAGACATCTAGGTTAATAACCATTGTTGCCAGCTTTTTGTAAACTAACACTTGTAGGTGCACATATAAATGCATAGAGAGGCAGAGAGATGGGCACCAGCAGTATGATGGTGAATGTTCTCAGGGTAGGGAGATTTCGGGTAATTATAATTGCCTTTCTCTTTTTCTTTTCAGTATGCTTAAATTTTTACAGTGACCAATGCTGTTTTCTTCATTGTGGGGGAAAAAAGTTGTATGGGTGGGTATGATTGGCAGGTCTTGGTACAAGAGAGGCTCTGTGGGAAACCCTTCTGGCACCCTCCTTCCCAGGTACCCTTGATCCTCTCTCCCTGTTTGTTCCCTTCAATCATTCAACACAGACAGTGAGTTGAGAGACGTGGGGTAGGGGGAATAGGAAAATGTTGTGTCATGGGTACCCAGGGAGAGAGCATGCCAAATGCTGTAGGGAAAGCAGGGAAGACAAAGACTGAAATTGTCCCCTCAACCGAGTGACATGAGAATCTAAAGACCTAGAGTAGTGCAGCTTTAGTGGCATGCAGGCAGCAGAAGCCACCTTGCAGGAATGAATGACAGGGTGAAAAGAAGAGCCAGCCTGGTAGACTAGAAGGGCACAGGGGTGAGTTAGGATGGTTTGAATGAGATGTCAGTTAAAAACCATGGGGCAGGGTGTGTGTGCCTGGGTGCTGCAGCTGGTTAAGCGACTGACTCTGGTTTTGGTTCAGGGTGTGATCTCAGGCTCATGGGATCAAGCCCCACGTGGGGCTCTGTGCTCAGTGTAGTGTCTGCTTAAATTTCTCTCTGCCCCTCTCAAATAAATAAATAAATCTTAAAAACAAAAACAAAAATGCGTGAGGGGCTACATGGGTTTTCAAATTTATTTAAAGGAGTATGCAAGCCTAAAAAGTTGAAATCACAGGTGTAGACAACCCCTTCTGAAAGTGCATGGGACTTTGAGTAAAGAGAGATGGTGGGGCCTGCAGGGCTTGGGGGGTTACTCCAGAGAGACTTGCATGCAGCCAAAGGCCTATGGGATTAGGCCAGCTGGAGGGGGAGGGGGCTGAACAGGACTGGAAAGAGACAATGAGTGGAGCCACAGAGATGCCCATGTTCCCAAGCCTGAACACGCATCAGAATCACCTGGGCAGCTTTTTCAAAATTCATATCTAGATGCCCCCAGAACTACTCACTCAGACTCTCCAAAAGTTGAGCCAAAGAATCTGAACTGTAAGCTCCTTGAATGGCATTTTAAAATATACCAATTAGGGGATCCCTGGGTGGCGCAGCGGTTTGGCGCCTGCCTTTGGCCCAGGGCATGATCCTGGAGACCCGGGATCGAATCCCACATCGGGCTCCTGGTGCATGGGGCCTGCTTCTCCCTCTGCCTGTGTCTCTGCCTCTCTCTCTGTGTGTCTGTGACTATCATAAATAAATAAAAATTTAAAAAAAATTTAAAATATACCAATTATTTAGAGATAAATCTATCAAAAGATGGGCAAAAATGCATTATACAGAAAAAATTTTAAATTATCTAAATAGGGAATCCCTGCGTGGCTCAGCGGTTTAGCGCCTGCCTTTGGCCCAGGGCGCGATCCTGGAGTCCCGAGATCAAGTCCCCCATTGGGCTCCTGGCATGGAGCCTGCTTCTCCCTCCTCCTGTGTCTCTGCCTCTCTCTCTCTCTGTGTCTATCATAAATAAATAAATAAATAAATAAATAAATAAATAAATAAATAGACATGTGTGAGTACACACAAACACACACATAAATATGTCCATGTTCAAGTATTGCAAGATAAACTTCCAGAGTGCAGACTTCCAGTTACAAGATTAACAAATTCTAAGGATCTAATATACAGCATGGTGATTATAGCTAATAATACTGCATTATATATATATAAATTATATACTCATATATTTGATATATATCTAATTTAAATATATAATTTAATGTATAATTTAAATATTATATATATATATATATATATATATATATATATATATATATATACACACACACACACACACAAAGTTTCTTAAGAGCAGGGGCACCTGGCTGGCTCAGCCAGTAGAGCATACGACTCTTGATCTTGGAGTTGTAAGTTGAAGCCTTATGTTGGGTGTAGAGATTACTTAAAAATAAAATCTTTTAAAAAATAAATTACTTAAAGAGTAGATCTTAAATGTTCTCACCAAAAAAAGAAATGATAATTATGTGACAGGATGCAGGTGTGAGCTAATTTATGGTGGTAATCATTCTGTAATATATAAATGCATCAGACCAACACCTGAACACCTTAAATTTACAATCTGTGTTATATGTCAACTATATCTCAATAAAGCTGGACACTCCCCCCGAAAAAGAAATTATTATAGGTCCCCTTCATCCTATATCTTCTCTTCCTAACATGTACATCTTAAATAGGAAACAAAGATTAGAAGACTTGATGTTGAACAATGTATTGATCTACAGGTTCAGTGCAATCAAATAAATATCCTAACAGAGTTTTCTTTCGAGGAGGGGGTTGAGGGTTTTTTTTGGTGGAACACAACAGGTTGATTCTAAAATACATATGGAAATGAAGGGGCTAACGATAGTTTCCTTCCTAAAGAACAACATGGAAATATTACTCTACTGAAAAGCAAGACTTTTTGTAAAAGTACGTACAGTCATGAGGAGAGGGTGATATATGTACAAGGACAAACAGACTGGGAAAAGACCAGAAGCTGATGTCAATATGGGCAGTGTGGGGTTGTGATTCATGTGGCATTGAAGAGCACAGGGAAGGATGAGCGTTTTCAGTAAATGGATTGAGTGTTCATGCGAGGTAAAACTGAAACTTGACTCTGACCTCACACCGTAAACAAATAAATCCCAAGTGGGTTGTTGTCCCAAATATGGAGGGCAGAACAATAAAGATTATAAAAGATAGGGGATCCCTGGGTGGCTCAGTGGTTTAGCGCCTGCCTTCAGCCCAGGGCATGATCCTGGGGTCCCGGGATCGAGTACCCCGTCGGGCTCCCTGCATGGAGCCTGCTTCTCCCTCTGCCCGTGTCTCTGCCTCTCTCTCTGTGTGTGTCTCTCATGAATGAATAAATAAAATCTTAAAAAACAAAAACAAACAAAAAACCTCAGGGTGGTGACAGATTTCTTTTCATGATACAAAAGCACCAACCTTAAAGGAGAAAAGTCTGACAAATTTGGCTTCATTAAGATTAATAAATAATTCCATTTACATAACACTCTAAAACAGGCAAAAGTACACCACAGTGTTTAGGGAAGTGTTAGTTTGAAAACTGGCGCCTATATACGGAGGGCAAGGAGAGACCCAAGAAAGAGACAGGCCACTCCTGGCCGCAAGGCTTGTCTATAGTGGCCATAAGGAGTAGAACTCCGCACTCACCTGCCAGATGTGAGTTTGGTCACGTGTATACCCAGACAGTCTCAGTGCCACCTTATTCTTTCAAGACTATGTCCTTGAAAATGGCTCCCACTATGGGAATGGTGGGTAGAAGATACATTCCAAGGATGTAGGGAGAGGGGATGAGGAGCCTCAGATTACTTGAGTCCAGCTCCAGGGTCAACTGACAGTCATGTCCTCTTGATTACCTCTTCCAACAGGAAGCATACTCAGGCTGAAAATGATCTCAGGAAGCTAGGATGTGATTGCCATTGAAGTCAGGATAGTGGTTCCCTGTGAACGAGAGGAAGGGGCTGGGGCTTGTAGAGTCTAACAATGTTCTTTCTATTTCTTGATATAGGTGAGATTACATGGGAGTTGGCTTTATAATAATGCATTAACATGTACATTTATGTTTTATGCATTCTTCTGTATCTGTGTTATCCTTCATGCAAAGGTTTTAAGGGAAAAAATCTCCACTCATGATTCTGATGAGCAACCGCATTTAGGAGCTCCTGATCTAGAGTCTAGCTACAGTGACACTGTAAAATCAGGTCTTTTTTTTTTTTTAAGATTTTATTTATGTATTCATGAGAAACACACAGAGAGCGGCAGAGGAAGAGACACAGGCAGAGGGAGAATCAGACTCTCCACAGGGAGCCCAAGGTGGGACTCAATCCCAGGATCCCTGGATCATGACCTGAGCCAAAGCCAGATGCTCAACCACTGAGCCACCCAGGTGCCCTGTCACTTTGTTTCAAGTGAGAGAATCCAACCCTGACTTACAAATCTTAGATATTGATTCATTATCTGAAAAATCCAAGGTAGTTTCAGGAACGGCTAGTTCCAGATACTCTAACAAGATTATGAGAAATCTCTCTTTGCTCAGCTTTTCCCATTATCCTGCAGGCTCTCATCCCCAGGAAGACCCCCAGCCAGTCCAGGCTATGTCCTCCTGCCCACTGAGCCACTTGAGCAGAAAGAAAATGTCCCCTTATCTGGAATCTCAGCAACAGTCCTGGGGGTGTCTTTCCCTGGACTGACTAGCATCACACGACCAACTGCTGTTCGCCAGGGGTCTGAAAATTTTCCTTCAAGGAAAAAGTAGATGGCATTACCAAAAAGAAAGAGAAAAAATGATTGGGCACAATTGGAATCGATGGGCTGGAAGTCCTGATGGGGTCAAAGGAGAGGTGTAGTGGAAGAAAGTGAGCAAAGGGTAGCAGGTGTAGTGTGGGAAGACTGCCAATCAGAGAGGGGATGTCTGAATTGTAGTTTCGGAGGTGGAGCAGTTTGGGGTGACGACAGGGTCCAGGGTGTGCCCTGGCAGTGAGTAGCAGGAAGGTCAGGGTGTTGGAGCCTCAAGAACTCATGCCCTGGTCTTTGTTAATAAGGGTGGAACCCTAATAAAACACAGCCCCATGTGGTTCAGTCAGAACAGTGTGTGACCCAAGATATACAACCCAATAGCCTAAAGTAATTAACAAGCAATCTCACTCCTTAGTCGCGCATCTCAAAGGACTTCAAAGGGATTCAGATACACAGTTCACAGCCACACTAATTAAAATCCTCTTTCTTCTCTTCCCTCATTCCTCATGTCCTGAAGCTATTCTGTGCTGCTCCTTTCAATATCCATCTCCCACCAAATAATAATAATAATAATAATAATAATAATAAATAATAATAATAAATTAAGGTTCTTCCTCCATACCCAGATTTTTTAGCCACATGGAAGAATCAGTCTTCTTTAGGAAGGGAAGACAGGGGGGCAGCCTTGGTGGTTCAGCGGTTTGAGGGCCGTCTGCAGCCTGGGGCCTGATCCTGGAGACCCGGGATCGAGTCCCACGTCGGGCTCCCTGCGTGGAGCCTGCTTCTCCCTCTGCCTGTGTCTCTGCCTCTTTCTCTCATCTCTGTGTATTCTCATGAATAAATAAATAAAATCTTTAAAAAAAAAAAAAAAAAACGAAGGGAAGACAGGGATCCCTGGGTGGCTCAGCAGTTCAGTGTCTGCCTTTGGCCCAGGGTGTGATCCTGGAGTCCCAGGATCAAGTCCTGCATTGGGCTCCTTGTGTGGAGCCTGCTTCTCCCTCTGCCTATGTCTGTGCCCACCCCCGTCTCTTATGAATAAATAAAATATTTTTTAGACAAGGAAGAGAAGAGAGATGGAGGAGGAATTGGACTGGCAATTGCAGGACTCTTTGGTGGGCCGAGGATGAGGGAACATTCCTGCTCAGCCTCTCCCCCACCATTGTCCTACCACAAGGAGAGGGATCTAGATGTTAAATAATAACAGCCCCTGGAGCTGGTGGTACAGTAAAATGAACAGTTTTTATATACATGGTCCCCAACTCCATCCCTCTTCCTTGATAGCCTCCATTTGAGAACCTAGAATTCCTGAATAAGCAGGAAAAATCAAAGCAGGGGCCACTGTCCCCTCTCAATAACAGATGTAGTAGTTTTATTGATTCACTTTAACAATAAACATAGATTTGTTTTATTTAGTATAATAAATTTGCAATTAACATTTTTGGGGAGGGATGCCTGGGTGGCTCAGCGGTTTAGCGTGAGGCTCAGGGCGTGATCCTGGAGACGCGGGATCGAGTCCCCACATCGGGCTCCCTGCATGGAGCCTTCTTCTCCCTCTGCCTCTCTCTCTGCCTCTCTCTCTCTGTGTCTCTCATGAATAAATAAAATCTTTAATAAAACAAATAAACTTTTAAAAAGTTAAAAAGGAAAAAAAAGAAAAAAGTAAAATGATAAAACCGAAAGTTGATGAAGTTTTGGGGAAAAAAATACATTCAGACATTTTTAGTACAATCCTTTTTTTTGTTTTGTTTTGTTTTGTTTTGTTTTTGAGAGAGAGGCAGGGGATGGGCTGAGGGAGAGGGAAGGAGAGAATCTTAAGCCCACCCAGGGCTCAATCTCATGACCCTGAGATCTTGACCTGAGCCAAAATCAAGAGTCAGACACTTAACCCACTGAGCCATCCAAGCGCTCCAGTATAACCCTTTTGAGGAGAGAGGTGATTTTATGGTATTCCTCAATGGCCATGTAATATTTATTCACAAAGTCATTTAAAAGATCAGGAATATTGGGGTGCCTGGCTGGCTCAGTTGGAAGAGCATGTGACCTTTGATCTCAAGGTTGTGAGTTTGAGTTAGTGGTAGAGATTAATTAAATAAACTTAAAAAAAAGATAAAGGAGATCATACTTATCTTCTTATTTCTCATTACTACCATCCTCCAGGGTTGGGCACAGATTATGGTCATCTCTTTTTTCCCCCCACTATCTCTTACTGTAGTAAAATATACATAAAAATCAATCATTCTAACCAATTTTTAATGTGCAGTTCAGTGATATTAAGTAAATATTATTGTGCAACCATCACCACCATCCATCTCCAGAATTCTTTTCATCTTCCCAAACTGTATACTGTTAAGCATGAACTCCCCATACCCCGCTTTCCCCAGCTCCCGGAAACCAGAATTCTACTATCAGCCTCTGTGAATTTGACTCCTCTATGTACTTCATATAAATGAAACTATATGCTATTCATCTTTTTGTGATGGGCTTATTACACTTAGCATAATGTCCTCAAAGTTCATCCATGTTGTAACATGTGACAGCATTCCCTTCCTTTTTAAGACTGAATAATATTTAATTACATATGTAAACCACATTTGCTTATTCATTCATCTGTTGATGGACACTTGGGTGGCATCCACCTTCTAGGTATTGAGAGTAATGCTGCTGTGAACATGGGTGTTCAAATATTTCTTTAAGACCTTGCTTTGAATTCTTCGGGGGATATACCCAGAAGTAGAATTGCTGGATCACATGGTATATTATCTCATCTTTTTTTTAGGCGGTGACCTGGCTTTTGGATTTCAAGGTACTAGGAGCTTGAGGGAGATTGGTCATGTGACCTTGAACAGGTCACTTTCCCTCTCTGAGAACAGATCCATGTTTCCAAACTGGGACTCTTGTTAACTACACACATTCCCAGGCCCCTTTTCCCGGGACATTCTAATTCAGTGCCTGGCCTGGGCCCCAGGAATCTGAAATTTTTCTAAAAGAGCCTCAGGTGATTTTTTTTATCAAACAGGTTTAGGAATCACAAGACCTGAGAATTTCCAAAGGCCCTCGCAGCTCTGACCTTCTATGACCTCAGTGGTTAAGAGACTAGCATCTGGAGTCAGAATGACTGGGTTTAATCCCAGTTGCCAGTTAGCAGGACTGCCTCAATTTCTTCACCCACTTAAGGAGGGTAATGCTGCCTACCACAGGACTGCTGCAAGAAGTAAACAGAAATGAAAGAAAATACGACTTTAGCATATACCTAGTAATAAAAAAAGAAAAAAGGGGGGCACAAAAAAACAAAACAAAACCAAAAAAAAGTCCTCTCTCTAATAATCTGTTTTTCTGTCTTCCTCTCCTTAAGGCTGGGCCTTCAGTGGGTGGGTTCCTGTCGCCACCTGGTGGTGGGGCTCAGTCAGTGCACTCCCACAGCCATTTCCTCCCCGCACCCCGCTTCCCCAATCTGCTCCCACTCCCGCGCGTCGGCCCCATCCTGTCTCAATTTCACCCCATTCGGAATCATCAAAGCCCTCGGCGACGGCAGAGGCTCAAGGTGGGAGAACCTGGGGTCGGAGGGTCCCTAAGGCCCCTAAAATCTATTCCACAGCCCCATCCTAGTGGTGGTGAGTCATTGGCGTCTCTGCCTTTCTGGGTGGTCCTGCGTAGGTTTGATCCTGCAGGAGACCAGGGCCCGCTCCTTAATATTAAGGATGGAGCTCAGCGACAGCTCTGTGCTAGGAGCCTTAGACATCTAATTCAGTCCTGACAATCCCTACGCTGTCTTTTTTTTTTTCCTTTTTTAAATTTTTATTTATGACAGTCACACAGATAGAGAGAGGCAGAGACACAGGCAGAGGGAGAGGGAGAGGGAGAAGCAGGCTCCATGCACCGGGAGCCCGACGTGGGATTCGATCCCGGGTCTCCAGGATCGCGCCCTGGGCCAAAGGCAGGCGCCAAACCGCTGCGCCACCCAGGGATCCCCCCCCCCCCCTACGCTGTCTTGACAACAGATCTTCTTCCACACATGAGGAAATTGAAGCTCAGAGAAGTTAAGGGGCTGGCACAAAGTCACACAGCTTGCAGTGATAGGGCCAGGTCTCAAACCCAGGTAAACCCACAGCTGCTTCCACTGAGCCAGAAGACCTCTAAACGAATGGTTCTCCACCTTGGCTGGATATTTAATTCACTGGAGAAGCCTTAAAGAATACTGAAGCCTGAGCCCCACCCCAGAGATACTGGTTAATTGGTCTGGGCTGTGGCTTGACCACTGGGATTTTGTGAAGGTCTGGTAAGTATTCTAGTGGAGAAGCACTGCTACAAAGCCACCCATTCTGTCTTCTGCTCCCCAAGGCTGTGCTCCAGGCTCTGGAGGTAATGGTGAACTTCCGATAAGCAATCTAAGCAATCTGCGGGGGTGTTCTACTCTCCCGGGGCTCACAGGTGCGCTGGAGGACGAGTGCTCCTGGGGACGGCGCCCCGCCAGAGCAGGAGACCTGCTGCTACTGCACGGAGGATGGAGGAGGGTGTGTCCCGGGGCGTTTCTCCGGAGGGAGGCCTGCGGCTGTGGGACCCCCGGGTCTGCTGCGTTGGGCCGTGTGACCTCGGGCAAGTGACTGCCCCTCTCCGTGCAGTTGCCTCGTACGGAAAACGTTCATGAAAGTAACATAAAATGGTTGATATTAAACGAGCTAATATAGGAAACACTTCGAACAGTGCCTGGAACCCAGCAAACTCGCAGTGAATGTTGCCAGGGCTGCTACTGTGGCAGCAGCTATAACACCGCTGGGATTCTGATCCTGACTCTGATGATGGCCCCCCATGCGGCCTACTCGCCCACTGATCAGCAGTAGCAGTCCCCCCCCCCCCGCCCGGCCCCGCTTTATCCTTTTAGCATTACCGTTTCCCCTAGGAATTCCTTGGGTTGTCAATTACAGAGAGCCCCGCCCCCAGGCGGCCCAAGGCTGCGCTGGCCAATCCGAGCACCCCCATCCTCTTGACCCAAACCACCTAATCCAAGGAGAAGCAGGCGACCCAGGTGGAGCCAGTCAGGTCCCGCCCCGGCGAATCGATGTGACCAGGGAGACAACCTTTGTTGTCACCTTTCCTAGCACCACGGGGGGGATGCAGGGAGATGAGACTTGAGGACACGCCTCTTGAACCCCTGGGTTCGGCTGCCTGGTGCAAGAATGCTCCCGGCTGGTCCAGTGAATGTGCCAATCAAGCCAAGTCCGGCCTGGCTTCGGGTTGGTTCGCGGTCCCTGCGCCCCCCAGGGCCACTGGGTACTCAGCTGAGATGATGCTCAGGGAGGGGCTTCGTACACCGAGGTTGGGTCCGAGACGAGTCTCCAGTCACATGAATCGAACGTGAAGCCGGCGTGCAGCTCTGTTCCCCCGACAAGCCCTGACGCCCGAGGACTAGGGAGACCAGACAACCGCCGCAAAGCCAGCCGGCCCCGACCCTAAACGCCATCATTCCGGCAACCGGCAAACTCACATGGGGTCTTTAAGCCAAGGGTACTCCAGAGTTCGTTACACTGGTCTTGCGACGCATGTGTAAGTTTGAAATTGTTCCAAAATAAAAAGTAAAATTTAAAAGGGCGGGGGGGGCGGGGCAGCCCTGGTGGCGCAGCGGTTTAGCGCCGCCTTCAGCCCGAGGTGTGATCCTGGAGTCCCGGGATCGAGTCCCACGTCGGGCTCCCTGCATGGCGCCTGCTTCTCCCCCTGTGTCTCTGCCTCTCCGTGTCTCTCATGAATGAATAAATAAATAAAATCTTAAAAAAAAAAAAAAAGTTGGGACGCCTGGGTGGCTCAGCGGTTAAAGCTCCTGCCTTCAGCCCAGGGCGTGACCCTGGAGTCCTGGAATTGAATCCCACATCGGGCTCCCTGCATGGAGCCTGCTTCTGCCTCTGCGTCTCTCTCTCTCTCTCTCTCTCTCGAATAAAGAAATCTTAAAAAGATAAAAAAAAAAAAAGGAAAAATGTCCTAAATTGTCAAGGAAGGCCCCCAGGCCGCAATCGTGCACTGAGGACACGCAAAGGGACTTGGGGCGAGTGCACGGTGGGTGTTCCAGAACCCACACCTCCGCCCCCAGCGCCAGCAGGACCCGCAGGCATGTAGAGAGGTCCTTGGTGCCAGAAATCTATCGGGAAGCCCGGGAAACCTTAGCCTCATGTTTTGGGGAACCAAGAGAATAAGGGAAAGGCAGGGTCTCCCCTCCCTGTTCACGGATAGCTCTGTCTCTGTCTCCTCGGTCAGTTCCTCAACACGGAGAGACCGCGGTGACCGGGATGTTCAAAGTCCCTTCCCTCATGGACCGCGCCATCCGCAGCTCTGAGATGTGCTCCGTTATTCAGAGAAGTGTGGACACCTGCCGGAGGGTGAAGCAGTGTCAGTCTCAACACAGCGCTGTTTTGCAGTGGTTCTCACATTTGAGTGGACACTAGAATCCCCCAGGGGGTACTAGAGTGCCAACTGCCCCCTCGCCTCTGCGCCCCAGCTGCTGGTGCTCAGTGGTAAGGTCCGAGAATTTGCGCTGCCGGTGACTTCCCAAGTGACCGCTGGTGCAGCTGCTGGTCCAGGGACCCCACCTTGAGAACCATGACTTGACCAAGGGCATAAATTTAAAGAGTGAGAATTTCAGGCCCCACAGAAGGCGTCCCCATTGTGACAAAACACCTCCCCCCATTTCCAAATGCCCTGCCTGAGAGCCACTGCATCAAACACTAACCCTAGCACCAGCCATATCCCAGAACCCATAAACGCCCATTTCTAAGTGTGCCAGACACCTTCAGTGACACCTAATCCCACCCTTGCGCTCTTCCTATTTCTGACCTGAAACCCAACCCTGGTGTGAACTTCAGCCCTAAACCTCACCGCAACCCAACTCTAACCATGATCCAGTTCCTGAACTTCTGGTTAAACTATGCCATGGGATACCTGGGTGGCTCAGTGGTTGAGCATCTGCCTTCCACTCAGGTCCTGGGATCCAATCCTGCATCAGGCTCCCCTGCCCTACTTCTGGCAGGGAGCCTACTTCTCCCTCTGCCTATGTCTCTGTGTCTCTCGTGACTAAATAAAATCTTAAAAAGAAAAGAAAAATTGAGGTTGAGGGCAAGATACATTAAGCCAGAGGGGAAAGCTTGCCCGAACGTCTCCCAGCTGGGATGTGGTGAAGAAGGACTCTTGAGTCTATTTCTGAGCAACACCTCCAACTCTCAACCACTGCTTCAGACTTTCCCAATATGCCCTCTTTTCACCATTGCACCGCATATGCTGACCCAGGGAGCCCTGGGTTTGAGCCCCTCAGAGACCTGGGCCTCACATTTGTTCACTTGTAAAATGAAGGTAAAAGACATGCAGCCGACATCAATAGGGCACTTGCTCTGTGCTCAGCACTGTGCTAAGCACCTACTTGCATCGTTCCATTCCCAAAACTTCCCTAACGTCATGTACAATTATTGTCCCCACTATGACTAGAAAACGGGCCCATAGAGAGGTGAAACAATGTGCCCACTCACCTTTCAAAGTTTCCACAGGGACCAGTGATGACACAAGTAACACCAGGCTCATAGAGGGTGTTTGGTCAACACTATGGCTCCAAGTTACTTGGACAAGTCACTTAACTTGTCTGAGCTGCAGATATGCAAGCATGCTGTGAGAATAAATTGTGCCTGGCTCATGGTAGAAGTCCTTATTTATCAGCATCCCAGTTGGCAGTGGTGGCGGGGAATCTCTGTCTTCCGAAAGTAGATTTATTTTTAGGGGCATCTGGGTAGCTCAGTCAGGTAACCATCCGATTCAGGATCTCAGCTCAGGTCTTGATCTCAGGGAGTTGAGTTCAAATACTGCATTGAGTTGCACACTGGGTGTGGAGCTTATTAAAAAGAAAGGGGGGCACCTGGGTGGCTCAATCGGTTAAGCATCTGCGTTTGGCTCAGGTCATGATCCCAGAGTCCTAGGATCAAGCCCAAAGTGGGGCTCCCAGCTCAGCAGGGAGTCTGCTTCTCCCTCTGCCTATCCCCTGGGCTCCTTCTCTCTTTCTCTCTCTCTCTCTCTCTCTCTCGTTCCCTCGCTCTCTCAAACAAATAAATAAAATCTTATTTTAAAATGGAGATTTGATTTTAGAAAACAGCTAAAGTTCATGTGGAATTGAATCTGGTAACTAATGCCAGTGATCAAGCTAAGAAATGTCATTTTTAGACCAAAACAAGGTGTAAGTATAGAAATTTGAGCATGTTTCTCTTTGAAAAAGGCCTGTTGCAATGGTATTAAATCAGAAGGTATTAGAAGTTATCTGTGTTCCTGATCTGATTCTTATTCCTAAACCGACTTTCATTTTAACCAAAATCTTGATGCTCACTTCTAAATCCCGGCCAGACCCAAATCTGGACATTTAGTTATACTGTCTCTAAATTCTCCACATATTCTCATTGAATCTAGTGTCACCGAGACCCAGAAATTTCTTTTCATTGTTTTCTGAGTTCCACTTTGCTACCTTCTGTTCCTATCATGATCTGAACCTGCATTAATTCTTCAAGGATTTTTAAAAATATAATTGCATTCCAAGTATACAAAATATGAATACATTCTCCTCAAAAGTAACTATAATAAATGTTAAAAGCAACAATAACAACAACAAAAATCTTTTTAGGGGCACCTGAGTGGCTCAGTTGATTAAGCATCTGACTTTTGATTTCGGCTCAGGTCAAGATCTGAGGATGATGAGATCAAGCCCAATGTGTGGCTTCCGGCTCAGTGTGGAGTCGGCTTGAGATTCTGTGTCTCCTTCTCCCTTTGTTCTTTCCCTCACTCGTGCTCTCTCTCTCTTAAATAAATGAATAAAAACCTTTTGGAGCACCTGGGTGGCTCAGTCAGTTAGGCATCTGCCTTCGACTCAGGTCATGATCTCAGGGTCCTGGGATCAAGCCCCGCATGGGGTGTGTGTGTGTGGGGGGGGGTCCCTGCTCAGCAGGGAGTCTGCTTCTCCTTCTCACTCTGCCCCTCCCCCCGTTCATGCTCTCACTTATTCCATCCCCCTCAAATGAATAAAAATTCTTTAGAAAAAAAAAAGGAGGGGGCACCTGAGTGACTCAGTCTGTTAAACGTCCTCCTTGGCCTCTGGTATTGATCCCAGGGTCTTGGGATCAGCGCTCCCCCCCCACCCCCCCCCACCCCCCGCATCCTCATCAGGCTCCCTGCAGCAGGGAAGTCTGCTTTTCCCTCTCCCTCTGCCCCTCACCCTCCATGTTCTCCCTCACTCTCTCTTTCAAATAAATATTTTAAGAAAAATTTTAAAGGGGCTACTGGGTGGCTTAGTTGGCTCAGTGGCTGCCCTTGGCTCAGGGTCAAGATCTCAGGGTCCTAGGACCCAGCCTGGGGGTGGGCACTCTGCTGGAGTGGGGAGGGGTCTGCTTCTCTCTCTCCCTCTGTGCTGTCTCCTGTGTGCTCTCTCTCACGTAAATAAATAAAATATTTTAAAAAAATTTTTTTAGGGATCCTTGGGTGGTGCAGCGGTTTGGCGCCTGCCTTTGGCCCAGGGCGCGATCCTGGAGACCCGGGATCGAGTCCCACGTCGGGCTCCCGGTGCATGGAGCCTGCTTCTCCCTCTGCCTGTGTCTCTGCCTCTCTCTCTCTCTCTCTGTGTGACTATCATAAATAAATTTTAAAAATTAAAAAAAAACATTAAAAAAAATTTTTTAAATATTTTTTTTATTTATTGAGTGATGAGAGACACACAGAGAGAGAAAGAGGCAGAGACACAGGCAGAGGGAGAAGCAGGCTCCATACAGGGAGCCCGATGTGGGACTCGATCCCGGGTCTCCAGGATCACGCCCCTGGCTGAAGGTGGCGCTAAACCTCTGAGCCACCGGGGCTGCCCTAAAAATTTTGTTTTAAATAAAATTAACTTGGGACACCTGGGTGGCTCAGTGGTTGAGCACCTGTCTTTGGCTCAGATCATGACCCCAGGTTCTGGAATCGAGTCCCATGCTGGGCTCCCCACAGGGAGCCTGCTTCTCCCTCTGCCTATGTCTCTGCCTCTCTCTCTGTATCTCTCATGAATAAATAAATAAATAATTTTTAAAATAAAAAAATAAAAATAAACTATTTTTAATAAAATTATTTTTCACCTGTTTTCAAAAGTGACTTTTCTAATATATTCAAAATTATGTATTAAAATTTATTTTATTTTTTTAAGATTCTATTTATTTATTCATGAGAGACAGAAAGGAGAGAGAGAGACGCAGAGACACAGGCCGAGGGAGAAGCAGGCTTCATGCAGGGGGTCCGATGTGGGACTTGACCCCGGGACCCCAGGATCATGCCCTGGGCCGAAGGCAGGCGCTAGATCACTGAGCCACCCGGGATCCCCTATGTATTAAAATTTAAAGGCAAATATGGTTTATAATTAATAAGTAGCAAAATGTAATCAGATTTAAATAGTTTTAGAAATTTTAATTCCATCTTATTAAATATTTTTAGGAAAACAGAACTGTTCCCCAAATAGCATCTGATGTGTCAATGTGAGAAACAGCTGTCATGCCCCACAAGTTATGTCCCGAACTACATATATACAAATTTAAGTCATATGAATTGTTTTTAATATTTTAAAATGTTCTTCAGCTGCCATGTGCAACTTTAAGAATACCAGTGCTAATTCATGAGAACCTTCAGAACATGAAAAGAAGCAGGAGAAATGGACACTTTTATTATGCAAACATCTATCACATCCATGCAGCCCAAGAGGAGAGGTCTGAGAAATGAATTAATCTTTTTCTTCACTTAAGAGCTTCTGCTGTTCACATGGGCCTACATTCCAAATGTAGGGAATGGGAATGGGGCTGCCCATCTCTAGTCCAGTGCAGGCCCCTCTGGTTTAAGATATGAAAGGTTCCCTGTGGCCCTGGTACTATTAGAATGTGCATATTTGGGGCAGCCCGGGTAGCGCAGCGGTTTAGCGCCGCCTGCAGCCCAGGATGTGATCCTGGAGACTCAGGATTGAGTCCCATGTCGGTCGGGCTCCCAGCATGGAGCCTGCTTCTCCCTCTGCCTGTGTCTCTGCCTCCCTCTGTGTGTGTGTGTGTGTGTGTGTGTGTGTGTGTCTATGAATAAATTAAAAAAAAAAGAATGTGGATATTTAGCTTTCCAGTTTGCCTTGTCAGATCAGCACTGAGCCCCAGGTATCCTCTGGTTCTTAGTCATGTATTTGGGGTTTGAGATCTTCAGAAACCCTCTAAAGAGCGGGTCTTGGGGCCCTGTCCAGTGGTGCTCCTGTTCTGTTGTGCCAAGTGCTTTGCTGCCTGCAGATTTTTGCATAAGCTGTGCCTTATGCCTGGAAGGATCTCATTCCTAGTCTCTGAAAGCCTTCAGGTCTCAACATATTTTAGTATTTATTAAGTAAACTCTACCTCCAACGTGGGGCTCAAGCTCACACCCCCAAGATCAAGAGTCACACGCTTTACTGATCTACTGACTGAGCCAGCCAAGCAGCCCATCAGGGCTCAGTTTAAAAACTCCCTTCCCAGATAGCCTTGTCTGTCCTCTAAATCCAGCCCAGATTCCCACCTGCTGTTTTCGCAGAACCCAGTTCTTTTTCTTCTTGGCATTTATTACAATTAATAACAGCGAGATCACACATCAACTAATTGGTGTATTTGTGTCTTTACTCCCTGTCTTCCACAGAAGTTTAGCTCCATGAGGGCAGGGACCATAACTTTTTGTCCATCACTGGATGACCAGGGCTTAGCATACTGTTTGGCACAAAGTGCTCTCTGGAAATACGTGTTGACTGACTCTCAGCCATTAATTTCCTCATCTTTGCTATTAGGCTGTTAATGTCTGCCTCATAAACATTATTGTGAGGGTGGAGAGAGAAGGGGAACAAGGAAACTGACACATAGTAGGTGGGCAATAAATGTTGTTGTTGTTATTATTATTAATATTATTACTATGCATGCAGAGGCCCGTGAGGGCCAAGGAATCCTGGAGGTGGGGACTTGAGGGCTATTTAGAGTTGGACAGGTTTCTTGGAACAGGCTAGGCATTCCGGGTGGGAAGAGCTTAAGCAAAGGCATGGAGGAGAGAGAATATAAAGGACATATGCAAGCCTATGCTCCTGGATGAATAGTACAGTTTGGGATAGCCCTCCAGTTAGAAAGGCAGGTTGGAGTCAGACGAGGGAGAGCCTTGAATGCCAGCCTGGCACACTTAAACCTGGTCCTGTGCCCTTACAAAAAGGGGGAAAAAAAAGAGAAAAAAAATTAAACCTGGTCCTTAGGCAGTAGGGAGCCGATGAATGTTCTTGAGCAAAGGTGTCAACTGAAGAAGTGGTATTTTAGGAAGACGGATTAGGGCAAATCTGCATCAGGTGGACCAAGCAAATGGGATACAAAAGCCTGACTATTTCCTTCATGCCCCGTCTCTAATCCTTGTGACTGCATAAAACATGCAAGGGTTAGGGGTAAAGGCTCTGACAGGAGTCGGATCTGGATTCATGCCCCAACCAAGCCACCTTATGATCTGGCTGACGCCAGCACTCCCCGAGCACTCACGTCACCTCCACGGGCCTCAGTGTGTCCATCCATATAATGGAGATAATCATCTCCACCCCGCCTATCTCACTGGACTCTTTCGAGAATTGAATGAAATTAAAAATGCACTCATTACGTCATTGAAAAAATGAACCCCACTCATGTATCAAGAGGTGTACTCCTTGCATGCAGCCTGCTTCTCCCTCTGCCTGTGTCTCTGCCTCTCTCTCTCTCTCTCTCTCTCTCTCTCTCTCTCTCTCTTTCTGTGTCTGTCATGAATGAATAAATAAAAATCTTAAAAAAAAAAAAAAGAGGGCAGCCCAGGTGGCTCGGTGGTTTAGTGCCACCTTCAGCCCAGGGTATGATCCTGGAGACCCAGGATGGAGTCCCACGTCGGGCTCCCTGCATGGAGCCTGCTTCTCCTTCTGCCTGTGTCTCTGCCTCTGTCTCTCATAAATAAATAAAATATTAAAAAAAAAAAGAGGTGTAAATGCTGAGGAGACCGGGATGAAGTGGAAGTTCAGTGGAAAGGGGCACACAGTTACCAGTTGCTGAGCACCCACTGCATGCTCCTTTCTCACCGAACCTGCCATGGCGCACAGCTGAACTCACAACACCGAGATCATGACCTGAGCCGAAACCAAGAGTTGGACACTTAGCCACCTAAGCCACGCAGGTGCCCCTCATCTCCCTGAATCTGAACAATATCCTTACCAGGTCAAGCCCATTTTATAAATGAGGAAATGGTGGCTCAGAGAGGCTAAGTAAGTCACCCAAGGACATTTAGCCCTTAAGTGGCAGAGCTCAGGGTGACCCATGTATGAGATGACTGCCTGTCTCCTGGTGCTGAACCTTTGAACACATCTGGCTATTTCCAACCTCTAGGCCTTCATCTTTCTCCCTTTCTAGGTAATCCATCCCACTTTTTAAATTTTATTTTTATTTATTTATTTTTTGCCTGTGGAATTCCTATTCATCATTTTTAAAATTTTAGATCGGGCTTCAGGAAGCCTCCAGGACAGCTGATTGGGACCCCTCCTCTGGGCTTCCTTAGCATTGAACCAAACTTTGCCCATGATATTAATCATATCAACACTATATCCTTGGTTTGGGGAAGGCCCTGGCTGGCTCAGTTGGTGGACCACGTGATTCCTATGTGATCCGTAGGTCATGAGTGGGTCATGAGTGGGGTCATGAGTTCGAGCCCCACCTTGAGGCTAGGAGATTACTTTTTTAAAAAATAAAAAAACTATATCCCTGGTCTCTAAACTTTTTTTAATTTTTATTTATTTATTTATTTATTTATTTATTTATTTATTTATTTATGACAGTCACACAGATAGAGAGAGGCAGAGACACAGGCAGAGGGAGAAGCAGGCTCCACGCACCGGGAGCCCGACGTGGGATTCGATCCCAGGTCTCCAGGATTGCGCCCTGGGCCAAAGGCAGGCGCTAAACCGCTGCGCCACCCAGGGATCCCCTCTAAACTTTTTTTTAAAAGATTTTATTTATTTATCGGAGAGAGAGCCCAAGCAGTGGGGAGGGACAGTGGAAGAGGGAGAAACAGACTCCCTGCTGAGCAGGAAGCCAGATGTGGGACTTGATCCCTGGACCCCAAGATCATGACCTGAGCCAAAGGTAGATGCTTAACCGACTGAGCCCCCCAGGTACTCCCTGATCTCTAAACTTTTACAAAAGCATGTTCCTTGTCAGAAAAAAAAAAATGTAAGTGTACATCCATAATTTTTCTCAATCAAGTACTGTATATACACATGCTCCTGTCAATCCTTATATACTAAATATCAGTAAATCCTAATTCTCAGTTTTTATGAAAAATAAATACAAGATCCGATCTAATATTTTCTTCCCACACCCCACTAACCCCTGACAAATTACAAATTGGCACCTCTAACCCAAAGCTGGGTGGGAAACGGCGGGGCTGGCACTGATGACCTCCTTCAGGGTGCTGGTGGTCTGAGGACTTGGCAGTTCAGCCTCTTCCTCCTGTGGAATGGGCCAGGGGGGCGAGGGGCATGGGCCAGGAGAAGCGCCTCCCCCAGTGCTGCCGCCCTCCTGGGCCAGCGGGAGGTGGGGTGAGGTTGAGCCTGGATTAGCCGGGGAGCGCTGGGAGCGCTGGGAGCGCTGGGAGGCTCCTCCGGCCGCAGGGTGGCCAGAGAAGGGGGTGCGGATAGGCGAATGCACCATGCCGCTGCAGGACGACACCCTCCGAGAGGTGTGGGCCTCCGACAGGTGCGGAAGCAGCCCCACCACCCTCACCACCTCTACCTACCTGACCCCTGGGGTTGGGGGAGCAGGGCTCGGAGGGGTTGGGGAGGACAGGAAAGGGGAGGAAGACAGACTGATGCCTCTGCCACCCTCAGCGGACATGAGGAGGAAGGCCAGAGCCCGGAGGTCCAGCAGCGCCCCAAGCAGGTATGTCCCCCTGCTTGGAAAGGAGGCGAGGGGAACCTCATCTCCACTTTGCAGTAACCCCACGCAGGGTAGGCGATCTGGAGTGGGACGTGTCCCCTCTACAGCGTCTGGGGGGTTGCTTCCCTGCAGTTTTGCTTTTTTTTTTTTTTTTTTTTTTTTTTGAGGAAATGTGTTTGGGGGCATGGGATGTCCAGGGGAGAAGCTGAGGCTTTGGGGCCTTGGACGTGGCCGTGATGCATGGGAGGGGTCATTGTTCCCCACCCCAAGGAGGCTGCAGTTCCCCTCCCGATAATCCGCGGTTATTTCTGGCAGCTCAAGGGATTAGAGGGTCATGGGCAGCCGTCCGAGCCCCCCTCTCCTTCCTCTCCCTCCTCCCGACCCCGCTCCGCAGCGACCCGCCAAGGGGCAGAAGTTGAGGAAGAAGAAGACAGAGGCCCCCGAGTCCCCCTGCCCTAAAGGATCCAGGCCCCGGAGACCCGGAGGCGGGCGGGGGGCCGAGCCCGGGGGCGCCCCCCAGGGTGAGGGAGCGGGAGGGGTGCGGCTGAGTCCTGGAGCCCGGGGGCGGCGGCTGAGGACCCGGAGCGGAGGGGTGGGGGCGGGCGGGGTAGAGTGGGTGGGGGCTGGGGTGTCGGGGGTGGAGGGAGCGCCCAGGACAGCCCCCACGGGGGGCGCGAGCGGGACAGCGTCTGGGGCTCCCGGCCTGACCCCGGCCTCTCGGCTCAGCCGGCCGGTGCGGGAAGCCGCGGGAGGAGCCGGCCCCGCCGCAGACCGTCTACGCCAAGTTCCTCCGGGACCCCGAGGCCAAGCGCGACCCGCGGGAAACCTTCCTGGTAGCGCGAGCCCCGGACGCCGCGGACGGTGAGACGGCGCCGGCGGGGAGAGGAGGCCCGAGGGGAGGCGCGGAGCCCCAGAAGCAGCCGCCCCTCCTCCGGCCGCTCTGGGAGCCAGATTAAAAGTGTGTTCTCTTATTCGTCACTCTGTTTTCTGGATGGGGAAACTGAGGCACGGGGCGGTTCAGAGTCTGGCCTTAAGCTAGGGGCCGGAGCTAGCCCAGATGGGTCAGGGCCACAGAGCAGGGGCAGCGAAGGGGGCCGAGAAGGGGAGACTAGCAGACAGGCAGGAGTGTGTGAGGAGGTGGGGTCCCGGAGGGGGCGAAGGCCCTCCAGAGAAGGGTATGTCCCTGGACAGGATTGCCAAGCCCCTAGCATTCCCCCAGCCCCCACTCCTTGCACCGGAACACCTTGGGAATCGCCCCGTGCTTTGAGGAAGGTGCTGGACTGTTCCTCCTCCTGCTCCTGTTCCAGAAGGGGAAACTCCCACCCCTGGCTCTCATTTACCACTTCCCAGCAATCTGGGGGGACTTGGCTCCCAGATAACCGGGCCCATGCCGGCCCCCATTATGAGGAGTTTCTACCTACAGAGGATGAGGAGGAGGAAGAGGAGGACCAGGAAGAGGAAGAGGTAGAAGAAGAGGAGGAAAAGAAAGAGAAAATCCCTCTGCCACCCAAGAAGCCTCCTAAAGAGAAGACTTCTGCGGGGATCAAGGAGAGGAGGGCCAAGGCCCAGGGTCAGAAGGGTGAGAGAAGGAGCACACACACACACACACACACACACACACACACACTCTGTAAAACTTGCCCTGTCCTTCAGGGCCTCAGGGGCCTCAGCGATATGAGAGTTGAGACATCAGAACACTACCCAGTGCCTGGACACAAGAGTTTCTTTCTCTGGTGTCTTTTCCTGATGGCCCCCAAGTACAGAGATCAATATGAGCTCCCACCACTGCCTGCCCAGGGGGCTCTGTAAGCCAGGGAAAGTGGAGGATTTTAGTTTTCTTTGTGATTTTTTTTAGTGTTTTTTTAACTCAATATGAATTATAGTTATAATTTTTATAAAAGTATCAAAGTGATTACTGTAAAAATCAGTCAGTGAAGTAAGTGCTGTGATGGTTGTCTGGCCTGGGCACCTCGCCCTACAGGTACCGCAGTTTGGTCTCAATGTGAACAGGTAGCTAGGATCTTGGGCCTCTGTGGGAGGGACAGAGTGCCGTCTGTAGCGCCTGCTAGAGGAAGTTTTCTGGGGGAGATGGGGTGGGAGCTGGGAATCAGATGTTCAGTTAGAACATCAGTTAGATGTTCATTCATTCTGTAATGCTTTTGAAGCTCCTGGTATTTTCCAGCCCTTTACAGACTCAGGATTAAAATGCAACAAGCAGAGATACTGGGGTGGCCCAGTCTATTAAGTATCTGCCTTTGGCTCAGGTCATGATCCCCGGGTTTTGGGATTGAGCCCCACGTCAAGCTCCCAGGGAGTCTGCCTCTCCTCCCTCTGCTGTTCCCCCTACTCCTATTCTCTCTCCCTGTCAAATAAATAAATAAAATCTTAAAAAAAAAGGGGGGGGGGCAAGCCGAAGACAGACTGAGCCATCGTCAGGCCTTCAGCCTCCCTGGAAACTGAAGGAATGACAAGTGGGTGGGAAGGTGGCCTTCAGCCCCAACAGGCTCTTCTTTGCCTAACCCCTATCTCCCTTTCCAGGGGACCTGGCAAGCCCCATCCCCGCACCCAAACCTCTGCGCATTAAGAAAAAGGAGGCACCAGCTGGGGAGGGGACCAAGATGAGAAAGACGAAGAAGAAAGGTGAGGCCGGTCTCTAGAAGAACATGGGACTCTGGCTGTGGGGGAGTGTGACCCCTTCACATCCACATACACAGGGTCCGGGGAGGCTGACCAGGACCCTTCAGGGAGCCCGGCCAGAGTGACAAAGAAGACCCCAGCAGCCATGTTTCTGGTTGGGGAAGAAGGCCCAGCTCAAAAAGCTCAGAAGAAGAAAGGTGGGTGACAGAGGCCTCTGGTGCCATCACATCTAGAGGCAGTCCTGGGGGGTGGGGAGCCGGAGTTCAGCGTAGGGTAAGGAGGGGGCTCAGAGTCACAAGTCTTGAGGGGCATCTCGATCCCCACTTTAATAGCTGTGTGGCCTCAGGCAGGTATCTTAGCCTTTCTGAGTCTCTGATACTAGTAATATGGGATTACTCTTATGTTTGTGGGGAGGGTCTGAGTAAGACATTGGTGTTAGAAGTGCTTTGTAAAACATGAGGTGCTCCACAGGGTAAGGGGTTCACAGACTTGTCCCGCCACTATGTCCAGGCATTTCCAAAGACTCAGAAGAGCAGAAGAAGGAGGAAGAAGAAGAGGGGGGAGAAGCGGCAGGCGTGGTGACCAAGAACAGCAATCAGAAGGGCAAAGCAAAAGGAAAAGGCAAAAAGGTCAGGATCCAGAGAGGAAGGGGGCTGAGGCCCCTTCAAGGAGCAGTGGCAGGGACCTGGGCTTGCGAGGGACAAGAGTGTGGAACCTGGCGGGGGGGCCTGGGGAATGGCTTGGGGTTAGAATCTTGGCTCCCTCTCTGATGACACAATAGGACAAAGGGCACCAGCCTTGTGAGAACAGCAAAAGCAGTGGAGGGGTCACTAGGCTGGGATTGGCCCCCTGGGGGCCTGATGTTATCTGGACTCTTAAGTCCTCCCCTCTGCAGCCTAACCCAGCAGACCCAGCCAGAGATGCTCACACAGCCGCTGTGAAGAGACACCCATTTTCTGTACCAGAGAGGTACGACACACAGGCAGATGGGCACATGTGCACCCCCTTGGGCAATGACTGTATGAGTTGTTAAAATATTTTCATGCTACTGTGCTAGTACCCAAGTGTGTTCTGCTGATACCTGCCCCCCAACCCAGGAGGGCCCAACCTTCCGGCAGCTGAAAGGTTAACTCTGGCAGACAGGGGCCTCCAGCACCCACCTCCATATGGGTTTATTAGTTAGTTCAGGAGTGGTCAGGTCTTGGGGGACTGACTCACATTAGACAACATCACCAGATACCGATATATAAACTGAAAGGCGAGTTTCTTATCTCCAGCGGGGAATATAACCGCCGTGCAGCCTTCAATACAGTAGGCCCTAGAAATTCACAGCTGTGGAAATGTTCGAATAAGCTCTGGCTTTCTGCACACTGCATTCCAAACATAGTCTTGCGTTTCCCAAGTTTCTTCTTGGAGCAGCCCAGAGTGGAGAAGAGGTGCTCACTTGCCTGCAGGCTAAGGGTCTGCTTGCCGACACCAGCCTCACCTCACATACAGTCCAAACCTGCCCTCAGCAAAAAAGGCCAACCGCAGCATAATCAGGGATTCTTAGTGGCTTTCATATAGCACACACCCAGGCTGGCAGTCCCTTCTCTTCCCTACTGGGAAAGTTGGAGTTGGAATCGTGGTTTTCCCTTAGAACATGAGCATGGAGGGCACCAAGCTTCTGAGAACCAAAGGGGCTGCTGTGGGGTCACCAGGCTGGGCCAGGCCACTCTATAGGGGAATGCAACCAAACTGTTGTTTGGAGTTATTCCATGAGCAAGATAAGCTTATTTATTCATTCATTGTCTTACCTCTGTATTGCGGTGTGACAAGTCACCCCCAAAACTTGGTGCCTTAAAACCACAAACATTTCTTAATTTCTGTAAGTCAGGAATCTGGATGGGGCTTAGCAGGGTGCTTCTGGCTCAGGGTCATGAGATTGCTGTCAAGATGCTAGTTGGGTCTTCAGTCACTCTGAAAGCTTGGCTGGAAAGAGAGGATCCACTTCTAAAATGGTTCACTGTTGGGCAGCCCCGGGTGGCTCAGTGGTTTGGCACCGCCTGCAGCCCAGGGTGTGATCCTGGAGACCCGGGATTGAGTCCCATGTCGGGCTTCCTGCATGGAGCCTGCTTCTCCCTCTGCCTGTGTCTCTGCCTCTCTCTCTCTCTGAATGAATAAATAAATCTTTAAAAAAAAGTAAAACGGTTCACTGTCATGGGTGTTGGCTGGAGCCCTCTCCACAGGGCAGCTTGAGTGTTCTAATGACATGGTAGCCAGCTTCCCCCAGAGCTCGAGTGGCCCAAGGGAGACAGCAAGGAGAAGGCACAATATCTATTATGGCCCAGCCTTAGAAGTGACACCCCCATCCCCTCATCACTTCTGCTATGTTCCATTTGTCAGAAAGAGCAACTCTAATGTGATGTGGAAGGAGACTACATGAGGTGTAAATACTGGGAGGCAGGCGGGCATCTGCCTTCAGCTCAGGGTGTGATCCAGGAATCCTGGGATCAAAACTCATGTCGGGCTCCCCACAAGGAGCCTGCTTCTCCCTCTGCCTGTGTCTCTGCCTCTCTCTGTGTTCTCTCATGAATAAATAAAATATTTTAAAAATATCAGGAGGCAGGGATCACCAGGACTCATCTTGGATGCTGGCTACTACAGGCATTGAGTATTTACTATTCACTGTAGTAACAGCAGTAGCTAATACTTCTATAACACTATGTGCCTAGAACACCGCAGTTCATACCTTTGGCCCCACTTCAGTTCATCCTTTGACATAGTGTCCGCATGAAAGAAGGTCTTTTGAAAAAAAAGAGAAAGAAAGAAAGTCTTTCGAAGGCTCTGGCTCTTACAGGAGGCTGGGCAGCATTTAAATCCCAGTTCCGCTTCTCACTAGCTGTGTGATCTTGGGCAAGTTGCTTAACCTCTCGGAGCTTCGACTTCTTTAGTAAAATTGGACACCTATGCCAGTGGCGACCTAAGAGAATCAAATTAGTTAATACTGGAAGATACTTAGGACTATGCCCGGTGCCTTGGTAGACTTAAATGAGTGTTTGGTGAATGTATACGTTAAGTAAGATCTGTCCCGGGTATCCAGCCCCAACCTCTGCATTTCTCAGGCGAAAAAAAACTGAGTTACAGTGTGGTTAAACATGACAGAGTTAGTGGTGGAATGAGGATTTGAACCCACATGTCTGGCTCCAGATCCCAGGCTCTTAGCCACAAGTGAAGCAAAATAGTAACAAAGCGCCAAGCTCCCCAGAGCCTCCTACCGGCGGCGGAGCTGCGGGGGCAGCACGAGGGGCCCAAGCCACTGCAGCGGGCCTGTCTCTTGTCTTCCCACACAGAAAGCGGTGAGTTGTCCCGCCTGCCCTGCTAGGGACTGCCGAGGGCAGAGGAGCTAGTGCTCCGCGGCTGATGTGCGTTCTGCCCCGACCCAGAAGGAGGAGAGAGCCCCATCCCCACCGGTGGAAGTGGATGAGCCCCAGGAGTTCGTGCTTCGGCCAGCGCCGCAGGGCCGGACTGTCCGCTGCAGGCTGACCCGAGACAAGAAGGGCATGGACCGGGGCCTGTATCCCTCCTACTTCCTGCACCTGGACACAGAGAAGAAGGTGGGGAGGGGAGAGGTGGCAGGGGGGGAGAGGGCAAGTGCCGGGACCCAGGCTGACGGGGGGGGGGGGGGGGGGGGGGGGGGGGGGCTGGCGGGGGGGGGCAGGGGGGGCAGGGGGGGGGCTGGCGGGGGGGGGGCAGGGTGTTCAGGGCACGCAGGCCTCCTTCCTCCACCTGTCTCCCCCCTCTCCCCAGGTGTTCCTCTTGGCTGGCAGGAAGCGGAAACGGAGCAAGACAGCCAATTACCTCATCTCCAGCGACCCTACCAATCTGTCCCGAGGAGGGGAGAATTTCATTGGGAAGCTGAGGTGGGGCCAGGAGGCCCAGGGCGGCTAGGGAGCCATGGCAAGTCACTTCCATCTCCCTGCGCCTGGCAGTGGCCACCACACTGGGCACTCTAGAAATGTCTCCTGGCCTGGGGCATCCCACACTTTTTTTTTTTTTTTTTAAGATTTTATTTATTTGAGAGAGAGAAGGAGAGGGAGATCTCAGAGGTAGAGGGAGAGGGAGAAGCAGAGCAGGGAGCCTGATGCGGGGCTCCATCCCAGGACCCTGGGATCATGACCTGAGCCGAAGGCAGACACTCAACTGACAGAGCCACCCAGGTGCTCTGGCTTCGCACACTTAAATGTGCACAGATCCCTTGGAAGTGTAGTTAAAATGGCTCAGTGAATCTGGGTTTGGGGCAAGATTCTCCATTTCCAGCAAGCACCCAGATGATGCTAGTGCTGCTGGACCAGGGACCTCACTTGAAATAGGTCATAAGGTCCATGAGGGCAGGGACTATGCCTGTTTCGTTTGTGGTTGAATTCCTAGCACCTGGTACATAGTAGCGACTCACTAAAACATTCAGTAAGTGAATGAATAACAAACATCCAGCACCTACCCTGTGCTGTCTCCCTATATGTCTCATCTAATCTTCACTGCACATCTGAGAGGTAAGGGGAAGGTGAACCCCTGGGTCAGGTCTTATTTCTTATCCTTATGTACTTAACAAACACCTATGTGAGTCCTATCTGTGTGTCAGGCATAGTTCTAACTTCCAAATATTAACCCACTTAATCCCCTTATTAAGACCAAGTGCGGGACGCCTGGGTGGCTATGATTGAGTGCCTGCCTTTGGCTCAGGTCCTGATCCCAAGGTCCTGGGATGGAGTCCCACGTTGGGCTCCCTGCATAGAGCCCGCTTCTCCCTCTGCCTGTGTCTCTGCCTCTCTCTGTGTCTCTCATGAATAAATAAAATCTTTTTTTTAAAGATTTATTTATTTATTCATTCAGAGAGAGCAAAGAGAGAGGCAGAGACACAGGCAGAGGGAGAAGCAGGCTCCCTGTAGGAAGCCCGATGTGGTACTCGATCCTGGGTCTCCAGGATCACACCCCGGGCTGCAGGCGGCGCTAAACCGCTGAGCCACCGGGACTGCCCGAATAAATAAAATCTTAAAAAAAAAAAGACCAAGTGAGGTAAATACTATCAGTATGCCCATTTTACAGAGGGGGGTGTTGAGGCTCTGAGAGTTTAGCCTGCCTAGGGTCACACAGCAAAGAGATGGAGCTGAGAGTTGAAGGCTGCTCAGGGTCCTTCCAGATCCAGCTTTTAAAAAGACCTCCTGAGGGGGGCCTGGGGCAGGGGACATGGGTTGCTCTGTCCTAAGACACCGACACCCTTGACATAGGAAGCTCTCAAAACTGCCTGGCTGTGAGGATGGGTCTTGGAGTAGGGGTATGAGATCCCCCAAGCCTTGTCCCCAGCACCCCCACACACACCCCATTTGCAGGTCCAATCTGCTGGGCAACCGCTTTACCGTCTTTGACAATGGGCAGAACCCGCACCGCGGAGGAGGAAGTACTGATGTGGGGAGCCTTCGGCAGGAGCTGGCCGCCGTGATCTATGTGAGAACCCCCCCTGGGTCCCCTGGCAGGAGCCTCCCCTTGGCACGGGCCAGCCTAACAGGATCTCCTTCCCAGGAAACCAATGTGCTGGGCTTCCGAGGTCCCCGGCGCATGACTGTCATCATTCCTGGCATGAACACGGACAACGAGAGGGTCCCCATCCGGCCGCGAAATGTGAGCCCAGCACCTCCTTGGATGCCTCTTCCTGAGGGTCCTGCTCCCATGTGTCCCCCTTATGATCCACTCCTGGGGAGCTGGGGGGTGGGGGGTTGCCCATACCCAACTTCCTGAGCACACTCTTCACCCTGCATCACAACTTCATTCTGGAAACTTGTGGAATGAATTAGGGGGTTCTATAATTGAATTCACTGAAACAAATACAATGAGGGATTTTTTTTTCCAGTTTACACCAAATAATCCATTCATATATTCATTCAATGAATGAAGTGTATATTGTGTGTATTGTATTATACACATTCAGTGTGTAAGGAGTGCTGAGTATTCTAGGTGATGGGAGGCATCAGTGAATAAAAAAGAATCTGCCCTTATGAAGCTGGCATTCTAGTGGAGGAAATGGACATTAGACAATAACTGTGATAAATAAATAAATTGTGTAGTATGTTAGAAAGCGAGAAGTGGAGGCACCTGGGTGGCGCACTTGGCAAAGCATCAGCCTTCGGCTCAGGTCATGATCCTGGGGTCCCGGGATTGGGCCATGTAGTGGGCTCCTTGCTCAGCGGGGAGCCTGTTTCTCCCTCTCCTATCTGTGGCTCTCCCTGCTTGTGCTCTCTCTCTCTGTCAAATAATAAATAAAATATTTTTTAAAAAGTGATGCGATAGGGAAAAAATAAAAAGTTAAACAGGAGAAGGAAGATGAGAAATATTTACATGTTCAGTATTAAATACAGGGTCAGAGCAGGCCTCATTGAGGTGATGTTTAAGCAAGGAGCTGAAGGAGGTGAGAGAGCAAGCCTGCAGATATCTGGGGAAAGCATCCAGGCAGAGGGAAGAGCCAGTACAAAGGCCCTGAGGCAGGATGGTGCCTGGTAGGTTTGAGGTGAGAGGTGAGAATAAGGGGCAGATAGGACCTGTATGACTGGTTTGTACTCAAACAGGAAGCCACAGCAGGGTTTCAGGAGTGACTTGATTTGACTTTTTTTTTTTTTTTAAGATTTTATTTAATTATTTGAGAGAAAGAGAGAGAGCACAAGCAGGGGCATGGTGAGGGGAATAATAGGGAGAGGGAGAAGCAGAGTCCCTGCAGGGAGCCCGAGAAGATGCAGGGCTTGATCCTGGGCCCCAGGATCATGACCTCAGCCAAAGGCAGAGGCTTAATTGACTGAGCAACCCAGGGGTCCCTTGACTTTTATTCAGAAAAGCAAAGGTTGCTTGTTTTTGTGTGTGTATGTGTGTGTGAAGTATAGGATAAGACGCAGAGATGTGGGGATCCCTGGGTGGCTCAGAGGTTCAGCGCCTGCCTTTGGCCCGGGGCGTGATCCCGCATCGGGCTCCCGGCATGGAGCCTGCTTCTCCCTCTGCCTGTGTCTCTGCCTCTCTTTCTCTCTAATAAATAAATAAATAAATCTTAAAAAAAAAAAAAAAAAAAAAAAGATGCGGAGATATCCTGGGGAGAGGTGGCCTCCTGCAATGTTAGTCTTTTGCTCTGCTCCTCAGCACTGCAGGTCAGTGAGCCCGGGATTTCAGAGACAGGATGGTTGATATGCTTCACACTCTCAGTGATGTCACTTTACTGGTTCACAATGAAAAATAACCCCTGTGAGCCTATCACATATCCTTTTGTGCTAGAAAGTCACACTGGAATCAGAGGCTTGGCCAACTCATGGGGCACAATGCACGGAAAGCTGTAGTCTTGAGGAGCCACAGGTCACTTGGTTGCTCCTTCCATGCCTGGAATAAACACACGAATGCCCCAGAGGCAGTGCTCCCGAGTGTGTTTGGGCTTGGTAAGCACTGCCCAGAGCTGCTCTGGGTAACTCCTCATAATTTCACAGTTCATTCATTCTATGGTCATTCATTAAAGCCAGGCAGTGAAGATCCAAAATCAACACAAGTACTATCAGAACAATCCGACATTTATTGAGCATTTACTCTGTGCTAGGAACTGATCTGAATAACATTCCGTGCACTATTAACTTATTTAATCCTCACAACACCCTGTTGTGAGGGAAACTGAGGCACACAGCTGTCAGTAAAATACCAGACCTGCCCTTTAAGTATCTAATTCCATCTATTACACTGCAGTGGGAGAAATAGTAAGAGCAAGATGTTATGGAAGGAGACTTGGAGCTAAGGCATCTAAATCAGACATGGGGTCAGAAAGGCTTCTTGGAGGACGTGATCTTGAGGCAGATTCACTCTAAGCCATGAATGTGACTAGTGCCAAGGAAACTGAGGAAGGAAATATCTCAGAGCGCTATCACACAGACACCATTCCTTCCTTTGAGAAACTCTATTCCGGGACATCTTACTTTAACCACTGTTTACCTGTCCATCTTCCCGAGCACAACTGTGAGTTCCCTGTAGATCCCAGCATGTCTAGTGCCTCCTTGTGATCAGGTGCCAGCATGTGGCTGTACCTAAGACCCCCTTCGGTACCAAGGGCACAGAGCACCTACTGTATGCCAGGTGCTACTCCCCAACCCTCCACTCTGGCATCCCAGGGCGAAATCCCATTCTCACAGAGGGATGACCTCTCACACAAGGACACCACAAAGACCAAGTAGGCTCTCAAGGATCCCCTGAAGACATACTGGTTTCTAGGCTGCACACTAGCACACATGTTCAAAGGCACACACAGGTTCCCCAGGCCCCTTCCCCTCAGTCCCAAGATGTCTTGGCCAGCCATGACTCTTCCCCTAACACTCCTCCTTGGCACCCAGGCCAGTGACGGGTTGCTGGTACGCTGGCAGAACAAGACCCTGGAGAGCCTCATCGAGCTGCACAACAAGCCACCTGTCTGGAATGAAGACAGTGGCTCCTATACCCTCAACTTCCAAGGTCGAGTCACACAAGCCTCAGTCAAGAACTTCCAGATAGTCCACGCCGATGACCGTGAGTCTCTGAGGGCTCAAGCTGGGCTGTTCCCCACCACCTCTCTCTCTCACACACACACACTCACACACACTTACACACACGCACACACACAGAGCTGTCCTTTATCTCTGGAGCCAGAATATCCAGGAAGGTCACCCCCTCCTGCAGGGGCATTGACACTATGTTTCCAGGAGCCTCAGATATTCCAAGCAGGTGTCTCAGGGCTTCTTTCTAACATTGGCCAGAGCCTGGGATAGATGTTGGAATATTCTGGGTGAGAAAGACTGCTGAAGGGAGAGTTAATCTGCTAGAACTTGAGAAATACTGATAGCCCAACCTTTATGTGGTCAAAGAGGCTGCTGAGACTCAGGAAGGGTGGTGCCTCCCAGTACCAGCAAAGGTCTCCCAGCAACAGCAGGAGGACCCACTGGTCATCAAAATTTATTTCACAGACACACAGTGCTTCCTATGTGCTAGGCACTGTTCTCTGGACTTTACAGATACTGAATCATTAAATCTTTTCAACATCCCTATCCCCTCCAGTACCTGAGAAAGGTATTCTTATTGTCCCTATTTGGCAGATGAGACAACCGAGGCATAGAGAGGTTAAGTAACTTGCCCAAGGTGGTAGAGCTGTAAGAGGCAGAGCTGGCATGAGAACCCAGGTGGTCTGGCTCCAGGGCCCCAGCTCTCAAGCCCTTCAAGATGGCTGCCTTGTAAGGGTAGGTAATATCAAGCATTTCTGAATGCCTGCTCCATTGTCCTCCCTCAAGTAAGGTCAAAGGCCTGCCTTCAAGGAGTTAGGGAAACAAGATACACCCAGAACATAATGAAGTAAAAATGTCCCTGGCCTGGCGGAGAGGTTCCCACTAAGGTGAGGAAGTTTGGGATGGAAAGATACCTCCCAAGGGACCCTGGGTTCCCGGGATTGGCTGACACTGAGCAACTTCTTCCATCCCCCACTCCATCCTAGGGATGTGTCCCCAGTGTCCCCTGTCCCAAGGCCTTGGAAAACCACTCTCCAGATCACATTTCTGGTAGAGCCTGGCCTGCAGAGATCAGGGGTATTTTTAGCAACTTCCTGTCCCTATGGATGCTGGGGGAGGTGTTGGGCCTGGGGCTGTGAACCTGGACCAGATATGGGATGGGGCTGAGTGGAGCCACTCCATAAAGTAGGGGCTCAGGGGGCTAGTCAAGGGATAGAGCCTGGCAATCTAAGATGAGACACGGGGGCCGGGGATGGGAAGAAGGAATGAGGCCCGAGACATAAGAAAAGGATTGTAGGCTGGGGCACGTGTGACAGGTTCCTATATTTAAGTGCCTGTCATACACATAGCTCTGGGTGGCAGAAGATAAGGCAGGGTCCCTGCCCTCAGGGGCTTACAGTCAGAAGGCTGCTAATGCTGCAGGTGGGGCCAGCTGCACCAGATAAGGAGGGGTGTATGGGTGGAGAGTGGGTAACTGAGATGGTGGCTGAGGTTTCCCGCCCCAGTGCACAGGAAGGAGACTTCTCCCAAAGTTGAGGACACTGTCTGCCAGGACTGGGACCCTAGGGGATCTTGGGCCACCCCCGCCCCTGTGTGTCCACAGCCGACTACATCGTGCTGCAGTTCGGGCGCGTGGCAGAGGACGCCTTCACCCTGGACTACCGGTACCCGCTGTGCGCTCTGCAGGCCTTCGCCATTGCCCTCTCCAGTTTCGACGGGAAGCTGGCCTGCGAGTGACTCCAGCGCCCCCAGCGCCCGCCGGGGTGGGGGAAAGGATTCAGTGGAGGCTGGCAGGGTCCGTTCGCCAAAGCCCCCACTGAAGACGCCTCTCTCGTCGCGGGCTGACCCCCCCCCCCCCCCCCCCGCCGCACGGTCTCCGAGTGACCTCCATCCACTCCCCGGCCTGGCACAGGCCGAGGCAGGGGAGGAACTCAGACGGCGGTCCGACAGGGATGAAGAACATCTGGAGTCGGGAGCCGCACATCTGGTCGCGGAGCCGCCTGCGCTGCTCACCAGCCGCCCCCCCCCCCCGCCCCGCGCCCCAGTCACTTCCTGTCCAGGAGCAGTAGTCGGTGTTGTCTTAACCCCCTCCCGGACCGTCTTAGGGCTCCGAGGAGTCGGGGGGCTCGCAAGAGGGGTAGGTGATGCGGGAGGAAGAGCCGCCACCTACACCCCCAATAAAGCCGCGTCCCGGGCCGGCGAGCAGTGGTTGTTCAACGCGTGCGGAGAACGAGGCGGCGGGAGGGGTCCGGAGCGCGGGAGGGGTCCGGAGGGCGGGCCGGAGACCTGCCTCCCCACCCCCAGCCCCGCTCCCGCCCAGGCCCGGGGCGCTCCCGCGTCCCCTCCCCCGCGCCCAGCGCCGGTCCTACCGAAACTCGGCGGGCTCGTGGTGTCGAGACGCCCCCCGCGGGGGCCCCGGGCCGAGAGGGAGGGCCCCGGAGGTCCGGGAAGAGGGGGAAAGGGAGAAATTCGAGAAACAAGCCTCTCGGGGAGAACCAGACAAACCGGGTCCGGGCAGGGCGGGCGCAGTCGCCAGGCCGGGGCGGGGTCTGGGGCCCCGGGAGTTGGGGGCGGGCTCTCGGGCGGGAGAGGGCGCTGCGCCTCGGCGGCCCGGGACTGGGTGGGAGGCTTGGTTAGGGGGCCCCGAGGCCCGGGCGCCCTGGCTCCGCGGGGCTCCTCGTGACGCGGCACCCCGACGGGAGTCCAGCCGGATGGCAGGAGCCCCGCCCCCGGCCCCGCCCAGGCCGGAGCCCCAGACTGCAGTGGGGTCCCGGGGAGGTGGGGCCAGGCCCGGCGTGCGGGGAGCGGGTGGGAGCGTGGCACCCGCGGGCGAGCAGGGCAGCAGCCCCAGGTCGCGGAGCCGCCGGGTGGGCCGCCCTAGCGCCGACGGGGGCGGCCCCGCGCGGCCCCGCCCCGCGCGGCTGGGCCCGCCCCCTGCGCGCCCCGCCCCCTCCTTCCCCTCAGCCCCCACCCCCCGCCCCGGCTCCTCAACACAAACTTTCCGTCCCGCTCGCTCCCTCCTCCGCGCCCGGCGCCTCCCGCTCCAGCCCGGCTCATTCCACACATTCCGGCCAGCCCCCTCCCCAAGACCCCCCTTCCCCGGCCCCCCCCCCAGCTCCTCTGGGCCCGGCGGAGCGGCCCGGCCGGAGCGCCCCCCCGAGCTCGGACCAGGTAAGCCGGGCGGACGCCGGGAGGAGGCCCTGCTGGGAGCGGCGGTTTGGTTGGCTGGTTCTGGATTGGGGAGCACTCGAGGGGGCCTGGGGCCCCCCAGCTATTGTCCAGCTGGAGCCGGAGCCCCGGATCTGGGTGCCGGGAAGTTTAGAGGGAAGGGGGGGAGCTCTCCGGGAAGCCCCGCCCCCCGCCCCCCCACCCCCCCGCGACCCGGACCAGTCGGTCGGGGGAGGTCGGGGTGCCGGGAGATTGCCCCGGTGCCATCGCCTGTCCCAGCGTCCGCGTTGGGGGTGTCGAGGCAGGGGTCTGGGGGCCGCACGGTTTGGAGGGCCTGCCACCGGGAGCTCGTACCCGGGACTCCCAGTCCCGGCCCCCCGCCCTTTGGACTCCCGGCTCGGGCGCTCTCTCGGAGCCGGCCCGGCCCCAGCTCCACGCAGGCCTCGCGCCCGGCCTCCCGGCCTCCCGGCCTCCCGGCGCCCAGGCCGGCTCCTGCGCGCGGTGCCTGGTGGCTGCGCTGGATCGTGGAGGGTGTTTGGGGGCAGAGCTACGCGCCCAGGGCGTGTGCCCCCTGAGGGGCAGGGGCTTAAGCTTGGGGTGGAGGTTCAGAGTTCCAGACCACAGCTCTAGGAGCCTGGTTCCAAAGGGGGCTGGCTTTGGGGCCTTATTTTCCCTACACTTCCTCAGAACCCTTGTTTAGACTTTAGAGGGTTTGAAGGAGGCTTGTCCCCACCACGACCGCCACCACCACCACCACCACTATTGTCTGTCATGCCCTTTATTCCTGCCTGGGGAGGGAAGGCCAAGAGTGCCTGTCTGTAACTGGTTTTCAACTAGCCAGGCCCCAGGGCAGTGTCACTGAGCCCCCACTCTATCACCTTTTTGGGAGAGTGGCCCTGATCCAGGACTCAGAGATTCTTTCTGGACAAGAGGGAATGAGGCCTTGGGGGAGGGCTTCTCAGGGGGCACCTCCCTTTGTGCTTTCTCTCTCTCTCCAGGTAGAGGCAGAACCAGGTCAGGCCTGGACTTGTAGTCCAGGAAAGCAGGGAATGGGGGTAGGGACTGGACACAGCTCTAGGGGCTGGAGCCCATGGTGGGTGGCTCTTATGTATCCCGTCTCATATGGCCTGGTTCTATGTATACATGTTCCACCCCAGTGCAGGGGGCTGAGACACCTCCTTAGCTAGAATGTTGGGGCAGCCTGGAGCAAGGAGGAAATACACAGTCCCCCAAAGCTGGACATGTGGGGGGGGGATTATGTTCTTCTCCGTTCCAGATTCTTGTAGCTCTTTTTCTAAGACCCTCCCCCAGGAGGGTGTCACTCCAGGACGTGGCTCTGTGGTTTTCTGGATCCCTGCTCACTCTGTGGGCAGGGGATTGACCGATGTATCTTCTAGGAATAGGCTGTCTGGTGAGGGTGACTTCAGGGGCCTTGGATGCCCCCTCCTCAGGGAGAGACTAAGAGCCAATGGGATTCTCAACTTCTAGAGCCTTCCCCCCTACCTCTCCCTAGTGAGGGAATAATAATGCTAATTAGTGCATTGGGGCTGGGGAATGGCTCAGTAGGATGGTCAGTGATCTGCAGGACAGGGCTGTGTGTGTATGTGCGCACGTGCATGTCCATCTGTCCATCTGTGTCTGTCTCTGTGCTCCCACCCTTGCCCTCAGGTTTGCAGAGCCTGTGCCTTCTGCCAGTTGAAATGTTAGAACCAGAAGGTGACATCTCAAAGAGGGAGTCAAGAAATTAGAGATCTGGTCCCAGCTGGGCCTTTAAGTACCTGTTGTCATCCTGTGCCTCAGTTTCCCTGCTCGGAATGACTTCTCAGGTCCCTTATCTCCGAGCTCCTTTCTGAGTCTCAGCCTTCTAATCAGTGGACCTTCCTTCTCCCTTTATGGAACGTGAACCTGGTGAGGTCTGGAGAGGTGTGAGTGATCAGTGATCTGAGGAAGAACATGAGGACAAACCAGGGGGTGACTGAGGAGAGTGTGGCTGAAAAGGTTGTGGATAGCAGGCAGCCAGGGACAAGAAAGCCAGGTGGAGCTGGGGGACCTTGCCTTCTGAAGTGGCCCCGGGGTCTGGCAAGGCTGGCCCAGGTGAATTGCGTTGAGAGGTCACTTGGATGGCCTGCCCCCTCTGCCTGAGAGAGCCCCCCGGGCTCAGTGTGGAAGCTGGAAGGGAACCGAAGCTGTCAGTCCTGCCCACTACCTCCCTTAGGAAGGGATGAGGAGTGGAGGGGTCCACCCACAGTGAGGACGGTGGGGAAAGGCTCTGGAGTACCAGACCCCAGGTTGCTCTAAATGCTGCAGCTTACCATGGCGGTAGCTAGGAGGTGGCCGTCTCTTCTTCCCACGTGGAGGCTGCAGAAGCGTGAGGTCCAGGTCTCTGTGGACCTCTCATGGGCCCTGGGCCCATGGTGGGAGCCTCTCTGGTCAGAGGTCAGCAGATCACACTCAGTCCCATCCTCAAGGCCTTGCCCTGCCCTCCGCTCTGTCCTGGTGTCACGCCAGCCTAGGTTTGTCTGCAGGAGAGGTGCTGCCCCTTGCGGGGAGGATCTGAGAGGGGCAAGAAAGGAACTTCACCTGTCCTCGAAGGTCCCCCAGGAGGCCAGAGAATCCCTGTCCCTTCACAGGTCCCCAAAGCCTCAGCCCTTGAGGTTTCCTAGAGTGCTGATTGTTTCCTGTGCTCCCTGCCAGGCCCGAAAGGACAGGAAGTGATAGAGGGAAATGAGAGTGCAACCGTGTGTGATGCTGGATGTGTGTGAGAGAGAAACTGAGTGGGACATTCTGCGTGGATGACACTGCTTAGGGGGGTGTGCATGTGTGAGAGAACCGGCTAAAACCAGTTTGTGTGACTGCATTTGAGGCTGGACTTGTACAGGAGAGAAGCTGTGTGTGGCACTGCCTGTGACTTTATAACACTGGTGTGTGTGGCTGATACTGTCTGTACATGGGAACCACCATGAATGACGTGTGTGTGTGTGTGTGTGTGTGTGTGTGTGTGTGTGAAAGAAGCTATACTTGTGGTTTCTGCATGTGAGTGGCCATCTCGGGGGACATGGCTTCTGAAAGACCAGCAAGTGAGCCTATGTCTGACCCTAGAGGGGATCCTGTTGCTCTGCGTGTGAGGGATGCAGTGATTGTTGGATACTGTGTGTGTCAGAAGCAGAATGGGTACCATTCTGTGTGATGTTCAATGCTGTGGTGTGACTACTGTGTGTGTGTGTGTATGAACAGCCTACGAGGTGGCCTCCGGTTTGTAGGAACTCTGACGGGCTGCGCGTGCGACTGTATATGACTCCATCAAACTAGGACAATCTGTGGTGTGTGTGAGGAGAAAGCACTGTGACATGGTGCTAAGCATCTGTGTGAAATGCAGAGTAGGAAAGAAGGTGTGTAAGTGACCCTGAGCTCCAGACCCTGCCCTGCAGCCCAGCACGTCAGAGGATCTGCGAGGTGTGCCCGAGACTGGCCTCTGTGTGTGAGCACTATCTGTGATTGCCTGAGACTGGAGGACAGTGTGGGTGACAGCCATCAAGGCTGGGCCAGGCATGCTCTGTCACAAATTTGGGGGCTTCTGACCCTGATGCCTGGGGCATCCATGTGGAGGACCATGAAAAAGATAACTGTTAAAAACAGAGAAGTCCTTAACGTCAGTCAATGGTGCCCTT